AATTTATTTGTCTGCTTTCTAGTTGGTATGTTTGCTTTCCCCTGTGCCATCTTGGATGCTTGAAATCGGTCTTGCCTAAGTTGTTGGATTTTGTTTCTTTTCTTTTTTTTTTTCTTTTTTTTTTATTTATCTTCTATTTTTGTTTTTCATTTCAGCTCAGAAGAGACCAAATCCTATGGTCGGAGTATCAACGAATAAATCAATTTTTTTATCAAAAGAAAATATTCAGCTTTGTGTATTTTATTTTTACTATTCTTCCCCTCTTGAGCCGTGATTTCCTCCTATTATTAAAAATTAAAATATAGTAGCAATTTGAAGACTTGAGGGTAGTTTAAAAAAAATCTGAATCCATACATGCCCAAACTAAGTTAAATTTAATCATAGAGAAATGGATTAAAAATGACCATGGCAAAGGTTTTACAGAAGTCACAACTTTTAAAATAAACAAATGGCTTTAATTTTAAAGCAGAATCAAAAGCAAAAAAAATCTTATTTTAGCTAAAAATGTTTATTAAAATATTTTCATACTAAGGTGGAGAACTTGTAACATGATAGGAACAGTAACATAAATTTAATCTCCATAAGTTCACTGGTTAATAAATTCCACATTAAATTCTTTACTAAAATAGTAATCTTAGTTAATGAATTTTATTTATTTTTAATGAAATTCAATAAAATTCATTCTAGACTATTTTTACACTTTTCCAAATTTAGGTCGAATCAAGCACGATGTTTTCAAAATATAGGCATATCAAGGATACTACTTTTCTTATGAGGAATTATTTTTTGAAAGTAGTGGATGGAGCTCGATTAAATTGACACATATTTTTTTTTTCCCACCAATTCCAAAATTTTCTCTGACTTTGAGCCAAATCGTATAAGCCGTTTTTGAGATATAGAAGTGTCAAATAGAATACAGTAAGGTGTGCCTTGAAGAAAGTATTGGATACATTTTGATAAAACTGGTACGGGAACATCTTCGCAACGAGCTGCACATTCAGATTGTGTCTAATTTTATAAAAATCGGATGGTTGGTAGTAGGCAATATATCCGTCGCATGGATCTAACTACTAGAAAAAAACAACACATATAACCAAATTTGTATCTCGTATGTCTAAAACGTAAAAGGAGGTAGAAACATGCAATTGAGAGCATAATTATTTTTTAACCTCCTACTGGAGTACTAAGTTTCTTTACCTTGGATAGTGATAAAACAATATAAAATAGAATAGAAAAAATTACTTTTTATAAAAATAAATATAACTTTATTCATTTTTTTTATCTTCAAAGTTCCGAGTATTTTATATTATTTATCATTTGTTTAATATACAGTTTTATGTTTAAAAATTTCACAGATCTCCTAGCCAGAAGTAATCTTTTTTCGGAACTGTTTCCCAGTATATAAAAGTCATTCTAGGACGTAGTCCCCTAAGAATAACACAACTGCACCGAGAAAAAAAAAAGATTATTTCTGGTTAGAAGATCTGTTAAACATAAAACTATATACAAAAAAAAAAAAAAAATGAGAAATGGTACAAAATATTCTTCGAAGAGAAAAAAGAAGTAAAAAGGAAAATGGATGAGTACCAAGTCTCAAATAAATATCAGAAAATTAATCAAGACTAAGGTAGTGTACGGTGTCCGTCTGAGGGAATATAAATTCTGATATGAATTAGAGGGCAGGTATTTCGTCGAAGTGTTAATGCAATCTGTTATTTAAATCAAATTTTCAATACATTTAAATAGCCATACATTCAAGTAAATAAAAAAATTAACATTAATGTGCTATATATAATACGTATACACATCAATTACGAAGCTTGTAAAGAAGAGAAGTGTTTAAGCCGGTGCCTGACTGTTTAGTAATTAGGAATTGGAATAGGATAATTTTAAAGGCTGGTGAGAAGGGGACATGCGTAATTTTGAAGGGAGAGGAATTCCAGAATACAGCAGAGCAAGCAACAAACGAGCTTTGTAGAAAGGCAGATCAGATCTGTGAAAAAGGGTGTAAAGGCCAGAAGGCCGAGATCATTTGATAAGGGAGTGGTCTGAGGACTTGAATGTGCCTAAGAAATATTGTCTTTCAAATAATTAGAAATATATTAAACTTTGCATGTATCATAGTTACATGCAAGTATTTATAATGTCAAGTAATAATTTATTCTGTTGCATCAGGCCCTGGAGTCGAAAGACTCCCCCAGAGAACACCCAACCTCTATAATGTGGGTACATTTAATTAAAATAATTAATAACGTTTAATCAGTAATTAATAATCTAATTTTGATATTGGTATTTTAAATTCATGTTTAACAAATATGTGGCCCAAGCTTAAGAGTCAATAAAAGTGATTAACGGATCATCCTTATAGGTTATCCGAGACTAGTCTGCATGAAATAAAAGCAGTTGAAAATCTGAAATGATAAATAATTAAATGCTCATTACGATACAATAATAAGAATTTAGTTCAGCCGTGCATAATAATAAGGTTATTTATCTTCAAGGAGTCCTCTAGCAGATTCAAGTTATTTATTAGAAGCGTAATAGATATAGGAGGACATAAGACAAAGTTGTTCGCTGAGGGAGGTAATTGCCTGAGACGGAGAATTTCCTCCCAATCACCGGCGAGGACTCGGCGCTAGCTGGATCCTACCAGAAAGAAAGGCAATCAGGGAACCTTCCTTATCGAAGGCCCTTCCAAATCTATTACCACGAATAATTTCCCTTTTAGAAAGAGTCAGAGAGGGGTGGGGGGAGAGAGCAGGAGGGGAGGGGTCCGTCTGCCATTTTCCACTCCCCTCAACAGAAATAATAGAGACTTTACAGCCCCAAGGACTTCCCATAATCTCAGGGTCTACTCCCTTCGGCTACCTCCTTCAAAGCTTTGAAACTTCTTATAATAATAATTACTTTTAAATTAACTTCAATATTATCGTCATAATTTAGACAATCTCTCTGTCATGTTATGCGTGCATTTTATCAAAGATTGTGCGATAAATGATTGTTGAGGTTCATTTTGATTATATTGGGTTGCACAAAATATAATGCAGAATTTCGTGTTATCTTGATATTAACCCTCTATGTACCAAACCTTTTACGTTTGAGGGATTGTTTCTTTGAATGGTTGTCAACCCTTATCAATTCTCTTAAGAAAAAAAATATTTTGATCTTCTGTAGTATTCGACTGCTTGAAAATATTTCATACTTTACTAATTTCGAAGCTTGATTTTCGCATAGTTTGTATGAGTGAATGCACCCCACAACAGTGGTGAAAAAAGGATGACTTTCAAGAGGGAGACTTCAGCCTGGAAGACAAAGATATACTTCTTCTCTTGGTGATGACGCTCTGCGAGCTTTGGTCAAAGAAAAGCCTACAACAACTGTTCGAAAAGTTGTATAGACTCTTTCAGTCAGCAAATTGACTACCTCAAAGCGATCGGAAAGGTAATAAAGCTTGAAACTAGGGTTTCTCATGCACTGGACGACCTCCGAAAAAATCTTCTTAGAGCTTCTTTCCCGAAACATGAACAAAGCTAATCCGCTCAATTCGTCAGACTTCTTCTTGGTTCAATTTTTTCAAAAGAAAAACGATTTGTTATTTAGAATCCGTTAAAAAATACATTTTCAGATTGTTTTAGTAAAAATAATACGACTTTTCATTTAGAAGGAATGGAAGGGTTAACATGAAGTCGGCAGAAATATGTTTCCTAGTTATGGATATGGATGTGGATATGAACCTTATAGTTGTCTCCGAAAAATCTAAAATTAAAAGAATATTGTCTAATAAGCAGAAAAACAATTGGATATTCCAAACTGACCGATCTCCACCTTTTAAGCCTTCACCGATCAATTTAACAAACTTATAATAATGGAAATATTACTGTTTAAAATCTATTTCAGTGCGAGAAATATCATAAAGTACGAATCGAACACAAAATGTCACTAGGGATATTACAATATTTTCCGGCTCTTAATGTCACTGACCGCATCTATTGTTTTTTTTTTTTATTTATTTATTTTTTTTTTATTGGTATATAATTAAATCTGTACCTCTAGCATTTGACAATGATGAGACTACATACTAATCATTATTTAAAGATACTGATATTTTATATTGTCAGCTTGGTTTTTTCTTTGTTAGCAGAAACACAGCTCATTTTAAAGAAGAACTCAATGTATTTTTTTTTTTTTTTTTTCAAAAGACTATAATTATAATTTTTCCTACTGTACATAGTCTTAAGTGTTTTATCATAGTTTTAAGTGTTTTGTATATAGATTTTTTTTTTGTATATAGCTTGTTTAACCAATATTTTCTTTACTTTTTCTTTTTTATTATTGTTTTATTTTGGCCAGATGTAGTATTTTAATTATGTTCTATTTTGTTAATCTAAAGGTACTTTGTCCCAGAATAAAGTTATTTTCTATTTCTATTTCCATTTCTAAAAAAAAAAAAATTGAAAAGATTGTTCCATATAACGGAAACAGCGGAATCGAACAAACACTTAGCTACAGTAAACAAATTCAATTAATGAATTATATATATGAAGGACAACAGAAAGGGGGTTGATTTGGAATTAATATTTTACTAATAAAGCCAGGTGAGAATGGAATAGAACATAAGAAACATTAATGTCATTATGGATGGCTTTATTTGCAATAAAGTAGGGAGCATTGAGGATTTTACGAAGAATTTTGGATTGTAAGGATTGGATACGAGAGGAATTCGATGGTTTGGTGGAGCCCCATAACTCCGTAGGTCCAAATAGATCTTATTATAGTCATGTATATGAGTATTTTTGTAATTAATTGGAAGTTTAGAGCGTTTGTGTAGTAAGTGCTGAAGTAATCGGAAACGTCGAGCGGTTTCTTGTCGTTTCAATCTAGTATGCAATAGCATTTAAGTGAAAGAATAAGAATAAATCAGAAGTATTCTGTAACTTAAAGTAATTAAATTATTAAGAAGGCATCCATCACAGATAGAACTGCTCTGAATTTGTTATCTTTTCTTTACAAAGTTTTTCAATATTCTTTAATAATTGAGTCCCAGGATTCTGTAAGGGACTTGGAGCCCTTGATGAGCAAGTAGTGCCCTACCATCCTACACAGCTCGTCCTACACCTCCCGGATCGGAGATGAGAGCTAAGATACAGCCATAAGAGAGGCGATATATCCTGGTCACTGCTCCATAAATCTGGAAGCGATATCAGATAGCGCTGCAGCGGACCGAACATGTACCAACTACTAATTGGAGGGCCAATTACGACATAAGACCGGACGATACCGGACAGAGCACCGACTGTACCCTAACCGATCTGCCCTAATTAATGAACTCGATACCGCTCGATAATTGAGTACGCCGAGGATCACGGTGGCTTCTGTTCCCTCGTGCATCGTACCGTCTGATCTGGGAGCATGCCCTGGATATCCGGAAAGGCAGATAGATCGCTTGATTAAACCTAGCTCAGGAGGTGGTCTCAAATCGGGGCTAATATTTAGAAATATCGATGTGTGCCGGGCGTAGGAAGGCGCTGGGCGGGGATCAAGTCACAAATCGTATTAATGAGTGCCATGTTCCATAAATATCTCGGCCCGATATAGCAGAACAGCTGTTTATGATAACGGATATTATAATTCCATGTTCGCTTGACTGGAAAAGAAGGTTTAACATAAGCTGGACAAAACTGAATCAATATATGTCGAAATGTCATGATAAAAAAGAGAAGAAGAAAGATAATCAAGGAAGTTTCGATGAACAATTATCAACGCAGTTTATACCAAATCCAAACAGCTTTAAACTAACTCTTAAAAATCATAGCATAATGTTTAGTTTAGATTTCATGCGAATGTGGACATTCATGCGTTTTTCTGCTTCAGCGCACAGTAGTCCAAGGACTTAAAAGAATACTTCACTAAGATCTAAATAAAAGAAGATATAACTTATTCATTGATGAGAACTTAAATAAAATAAAAGTAAAAAGTCTATTATTATGAAATAATGAGAGGATTTCAACAATTATCTAATAGCAATAATAAATCGAAAATGACTAACAAGTCATTGTTTCATTAGTTCTTTAGGCTTTATCAGGATCAAGTGATAACATAAATAATAACAGCTATCCTTTTTTCTATTAGCCTAAATGCATTGAAAGAATATAGTGCTTCTCAATACGATAGTCTGAGTTGGATCAATTCAATAAAGAATGTACACCAAATTAACTCCAAAATACTTATATACCATGTCTAACTAACTACTACTTGGAAACAAAAGGTAGTGTACTACTTTGACTCACCAAAAAAAAAAAAAAATTTAAATTTCACCTATCTTATATGTATCTTATTATGAAAAATTTAAATAATTGTTTATCCCTAAAACTGGCAGGAGCACTAGCAACAGCATCCTGAGGCACTTTACCACATGTCCAATAATTTTCAAATTTGGATTCAAGTAACCCATTTTGGTCCAAGACTCCTAAATTAAATTTATAACCAACTTCTTAAAAAATTATTTGTTACATATTAGAATAAGGTTATTAAACTGCAAAGCAGTAATTTGAATTCCCAAATGTTTTTTATTTAATTCGTAATAAATTAATTAAAACTACCAGGAAAGTAATGAATGAAGAAAAATAATTGAAGTTACTTTAATAAATGTAGGACTATTTTCAAATATCTCCCTTTAATAATGTTCTATAAATGGAGTGTGTATTTAGTTACATTCCATGTTTTACAACGCCGTAACTTGTTTTTAATTAACAGGTATAGGGAATAACAGATTTCGTTTGAAATCGCCTAATTAAAATTTTATGTAGAGCTCGAAAAATAACATTAAAAATTAATTAAAAATATTGCTATAAAAACATTAAATTAATACGAAACGAAGTGGATAAAACGTATTTATATATTTCCTGTCTCAACAAAATTTTGGCTGTTGTTGAAAGTCGTCATCAAGATTGAAAATCTTTAGTAGAGCTTATAGGAAAATCAAATTAGAGAGAAAAATCAAATTAGTTTCGTAACGAGATAATCTTTTTTCTTATTACTTTTAGCCTTATTACTAGCAGACTATTTCTTACAATGTGGGTTGGGTAAAATGCTTAACAGCTTTTTCATCCCGCAAGCTTATACTATCATAGACAAATATACTTTATAAGTTCCCAATGCAAAAATATTTCCCACAATGATTCAGCTAAGTTGGTCAATAAATAGGTTTTACAGATGAAGGAATTATGATAAAATTTTAAATATTTTTCGTCTCGATTGCCTTTTAATATGATCTAAGCCAAGAGGAAACTAAATGATCTAGCTGGCTAATGGAATTGGTAATATTGTTAAAAGACTAAGCGCTATATGGGACACCCACGGGGGCCAAGAGATAAGCCTTTCATACTTATCGGGCACAAATCCTTTTAAGAAATAATGACCAGGGCCAAGTGTAGGAAGGGTCTCCAAGCCGTTTTATAGCGAGGATAAGGATAATTCGAATCTGGTCTGATTGAATATTGATGTAGGGCTAACGGGAAGGCTGATAGTGTACTCGTTCTAGGGGAGTGTAGGCAGCCAATAAGGAAGCTACGCATTTGGATTAAAAAAAAACAAGAAAAAAATCATTAGCAAATAAACAAAAGATAGAAATAATAAAAAGTTGCCAAAATATATTAGGCGGCTTGCCTACAAGACAGGTCTCTTACAAGAAGAAGCTTAGGATTCTTAAGCCAAAAATAACAAAACATTATAATTGCGTATTAGTCCCCTTTATGAGTTTTCTAATGTTTTACACACTATGCAGCCATAATAAGATTATTGTAGAATCAAGCGAGGGTAAGTTACTGAGTGCAAAGAGTTCATTGATGGGTACCAGATAACCATTAAGCCGGTCCTTAGCTCATCGATGGATCCATAAATGGAATTCAGGTGGATTCCTTCGAAATAATTAGCGCTGAGTTAGGAGCACAACTTAGGACAGAAGTAAGCTGAGGTTTGATTTTCTGATTAATTTCCAATATGAGGCTTAAAATTAGAAAATGAGAAGCCAAAAACTCATTAACATCAATTATGTATTATTTTTTTTTTAATAGAATAAAAGTATTTCTCAGGGTTCAGCCAGTTCCTAAACTCAGCATCAATTCCACCGATGAACAGCGATTTTCGTTGACTTTAGAAACGAACTGCTCCATTTTAGAGGAAGGTTAACACTCCTGAATAGTTACAAAAGATACAGATAAAAATATATATTTAAGGAAATACATAGTTATTAAAATATTAAATTATAAAAAAAATGTATAAATAGAAATAAACTAAATATAAATATGTAAAGTAAACTAAGAAACAACACAGCGGTTATAATATGGTTACATTCAGTGAATTCATCGGCTTTTGGGTTCACTGAGACAACAAACACTGAGACATTTTAATCTATGAATAAAGAATAGCACTGAATTCCACTAATGGTGTTAATCGAATTAGCATTGAATTTTGGAACGTCCTTTCTTAGTCCATTGCTTTGTAGGAAAATGCAGAATGATTTTGATGATTTTATGAATAAGGATCATGGCATATTTAGAAGCATTATATTTTTAAAAAATCAAAAAAAAATTATAAAAAGAAGAATTAATTGAAAATGTATAGGGAAAAAAGATATAGAAATATCTGTATCTACTTCTATAGAGATATAAAAATTAGATTGAAATTAGTAATTATAGAGACGGATTAGTATGGGAATTCATTTTTATTTTATATAATGATTGACAAAAATAAGTAAGTAAATCTACTTAGTTATAGCTCAAAACTAGCCGTATGTGTAGACATGCACTGAATATAGTATGAAGTTATAAGTATTGATAAATGATATGGCTACAGGTTTTGGCTAACGTTCATAGTTACTAATGTTCAAATTATATCAAATTTGTAAAAAAGTTTAAATTATGGTCATAAATAATGAAAATGAGGTATTATATGTTTATTAGATACAAATAAAATGACCAGCCCTCTTGAGTCGGCGGTCAAGCTTTTTCGAAGATTAGATGTTCTAATCATCTGCCGGTTGCTGAGCTGGGAAAAACAGTTTCGGTATTTATACGTCGTTAACAGTAAACTAACATTTTACAGGTTTTATTGAACAGAATAAACACTCTTTTTCCTCAATATTCTCCCCTTCCGTATTAATGAAACAATGTATCGTCGGTATTTTGTAAAGAGAGCTAATTTAACAATTCAATACTTTTTCGGAGAATATATTGGCAAGACTTTACAGAGAGTGTGTTTTCACCATTGTTACATCTGGAACTAAGAGAGGATGTTCAAATACGAAAGTTACGATTCCCCGTTTTTACACCTCTGGACAATATCATTCCATGAACTCATTCGTTTCAACCATCCAATTTGTAGAATTCGTTCTTTTTACAGAACTCCGACTATGTATGTGCAAAACGGAGTATACTCTCAAACGAAAGCATTCTTCACGTCTAATCGCAGAAAATTTTTACTTTCACTTACCTATATATGTAATATATAATAAGGGAAAGTATTACGAACGTGAAAATTTTCGAATCTGATTTATCAACGGAAATACGCGTTTTAAAGTCCAAAAATAACGAAGTTCCGTAAAATAGTCTGTTCGTGTGTGAGTATGAGCAGCGCATCTCAAAAACGAAAAGTCGTACGAAACTGATATAACGTATTTAAAGTTTTTTTTTATGCCTGGAATGTTAAACAACTTTTTCGTCAATACTAGAAAACATGAAGCGATATTTTATATCATCGATTTGACACATTTTTACGATTTTCTTGAAAACAGCTCTAACGATTTTGATTAAACTTAGTGTATCAGTGTATTATTAAGATGTTATCTAGTATCAGCATATGTAATTTATCTTTATGACTTGATGTAATGTATATATAAAAAAAAATAAATAAATAAAAAAAAAGTATCAGCTAGGTCTTATCTTCATTGATGTCACTATACAGGGCTTTCATGCCCAATAATCAATATTTCTTCCATTGAAGTACTTTTAATTCGGTCCATTTAAAGAATTAACTGTCTCTCATTCTTAGAAGTTACAAGGAAATGCTAAATATAACTTTTGATTGAATATAATATTTGAATAATGGAGAAAAAAGGAAAAATATTTATTTAGGTCGAAAATGAATATCCGGAAATAATAGTCAGAAGGTATAATGTATCGTTGGAAAGCTGAGCATTTTAGAAAAAAACAATATAGAAAGTCGTAGAAGGTAATGAAGAGTGACAAAAAACTATAAACCATAATTTATAAAAACTATTTTATTTACTTATTATTTATTTTAAATGATATTTACAACTGTATACAAAAAATACATCTGAGAAATTCGCACATTGGTATAAAGACATGGAACACATGTTGAGAAACTACCCATTGGTAGCACTTTAATAATATGT